CGTAGCCAAAAAGAGGCCAAGTAGAGCATCTTATTCAAATTTTGAAAAGAATTAAAATCGTGTACATTACACCCATACACCGCAACGCTCGAGTTTCAAAATACGGGTAGCGATTTTTTGTCATTTACATGAAACTCGACTGAATCGACCCGAAAATCTCATAGTATTGCAGAATTCAGGTCAAAAGGTCATCGACAACTTCTGATCTGAGAGAACGTCGCTGTCTATTTTTTTTAATGGGTCGTTTAAAATGACATAATATTTGATTGAGCTGCACGAGTAAAAAAGTGTTATTTTAACTTGAGTTACATACTGTGGCAATTTTTATTTTTTAGTTAGGTCTGGGTTTTGCATAATTAGTACGGCAGCTTAGGGCCATATTTTGACTTAATGTGGACGTTCCGGACAAAAGCACCAATTTTTTTTTACATGCTCCTTAGGGTCATAGCATTCAATTTTTGGTAGGAACCACCTTATCCGAGGTTATTATGGCGGCCATCTTGGATTTCAAAATGGCCGCCTAATAAAACCTATGTTTACCTATATCTCCGCTTCTAAACCACTTGGAATTATAATTCTAATGTCTAAGAGTATGTTTATATGATCGAGGAATACCATCATATCATTTTTGACCTGGTCAGATTGCCACAAATGGGTCATTTAAGGTCATTCAAGGTCAAATATTGTTTGGTATCTTTAAAATTACGTAATTGTCAAATTTTACATTAGAATCATACCCAGGCTCTCAGAATTCAAACTTTTTACTATGAGCTACAATATTTCATTCGAGGTCATTAAATTTCAAAATGGCTGCCACGCAAAACCTATATTTATCAATATATCGGCTTTTAAACAACTTCCAATAAGAATTATGATGTCTAAAAATATATTTTCATGGTCAAGGATTTATAGCACTTGTGACATGGTCAGATGGTCATTTAAAGTCATTAAATTTCATTTCTCTGTTAAATACGTAGAAAATCTTAATAGTTTGTAAGTGGTCGTGTTTTACAGCAAAATCATACATAAGCTCACAAAATTCAATTTTTGATAGGAACTATTTCATCAGGTCATTACGACAGCCATTTTAGGTCAAGGTCATTTAGCATCCATATTAAATTCCAAGGTGACCACCATGTAAAACATGTTTTGTTCCTTAAATATGTTTACTGTACTGCATAGTCAAAGAATAACATCAAAAGTAGTGACATGTATTTGTATTTATTATATTCCATTATATATTGAAAAAGTCTGATATCAGAAATTGTATTTAATGTGAAATGATAAATTGATATCAAAA